GTAATAAAAGGGCTGGTTACCTGGGTTGGGTAGTAGGATACTGGGCTAGATGGACCACTGTCTGACACAGTGTGGCACTTCTTATGGGCTTAACTTTGGAATCATTCTGCATCTTTAAATGAGAGGATTGGGTTTTGTTTTTTAAACGGTTGAGGAAAAATCTGTTAGGATTAAGTCCATGCGTTTCTGCCACTCTAACCTATGCTTTCTGCTTAGTATTTGCTATATGGGAGTGACCTGAAAGCAGGGAGCTAGATGTAGAAACACAGGTCCCATCGAGCTACATGTCAGCTCAGTCTCCTCTATCAATGGGTAAATTCCACTCTTGTCAGTCAAGCTCCACACGACAAGAGGAATCTTAAATGGTACCAGCCCCTGAGACTCCAGCCTTCCTCTCAAAGCACTTTAACTCATTTTGATCCCTGACCCTTCCCATTCCGGGACTTGAAGCGTGTAAGTTGAATGCCTACCTTTTCTGTGCCCATGATCTTTCCTTTACCCACTGAATGTTTGAGAGCAAAGCCAGGGCACCTCCTTACCTGAGCAGGTGTGAGCCCAGCAATTTCAGGTGTCCCGGTCCCAGGGGCAAAGGCGGGGTCTAAGCCATCGATATCAAAGCTGATGTAAATGGGCTTGTCTCCCATCTGCTTCCTCACTTCTCCCATCAGTGGTACCAAAGACTTCATCCAGCAGTCCTCAGCCAGGACCACCCGGAAGCCCTATTAGAGGAAATAAAAAACAAGCATCAGACTCCTACTGCTCAGAGACTTCCTGCCCGGAGAGGGACGTGCAAATGAAACAGGTCAGAGGTACAATGGTCCTGGGTCGTATTTATGCAAACAGTTCTCCCCAACCTGAATAGTCCAAAGCAGGCATCCTCTAAGCTGTACTACCTGCTGTTCCCAGGCATCCCTGATCCTCTTTCTCCATTGCCTCCAGAGCCTACAGACTTGGCCAGCAGTATTTTCCTACAAGGGAAGGTACCCCAGCATGCTAGAAACAACAGGCAGGATTGCTGTAGAGGAGGGTGTTTTCCTTTCTAGCCGCCACTCAGAGAGGCCATGGGGACTGCTGTTAAAAAAATGATAGCAGATAGGGTTTTCTTGCTCTAGGATGCATTATAAATTGATACAGACTGGGATAAGGGCCCCATGCAATTGCATCAGTGAATGTGAGTAATAGCTTCTACCTTCATTCGCTAAGCAAGCCTCACAATAAGCCATTCAAGTAGGAGAGAGATTTACTCCCAGCACTGAGCTCTCGACGTGGGCACCGCACTGCCCGCAGGAGCAGGCACAGTCCCGGAGAAGGTTGTGGCCGCAGAATAAGTTACCTGGTCCCGGCTGTATTTGTAGGGATCGGGGGTATATGAGGAGCCTCGAATTCCAATCTGAACCACACGCTTGCAATCCAGGAGCCCCTCGTCCACACAGCGTCGGAATGGCGTCCCGTGGTAGATCTTCTCCCCCAGCGCCTTATCTCCCGTGTCGGTGTGAGCATCCACGTGCACCAGCCCCACCGGCCCATGCCTAGTTGGAACAGGGTAGCCGCAAACAGTCATGTTAGCACCAGGCCTGTTTGTGGGCCCCAACGTGATTTTCCTCAACCGTTCAGCATGACACTGCCTCGGAGCCTTTGCAACCACAGCTCTGCCCCTCAGCACAGCCTGTAACTGTGTTACAAGCATGCATTACCCCACCGACTAACTCTCGAGACAGTGATAACCTGAGGGAGTGGGGAGCACGGTGTTGGCTAAGGTCTGCCCTGCCGAAACAGAGGAGGGGTGAGAGGCTTCCAGCCTCCAGTCACTGATTTACAGCCTTCTGCCACTTATTTCTGCCCAAGCATTGGTCCAGCTGCATCTGAGTACTACATGGACCTCGCCATCCCGAAAACACAAGACGTCCACGGTAAGTCTAGGCTTGCCCAGCACAGCGTAAGGCTCCACAGTCAAAGGTGAGGGAGCTTCTATCCCCAGAAGGCCTCAACTACAGGCACACACTAAAGAACTTAAAAAAGGGTGAGCAAGGGAGGGATATGCAAGCACGTGCCAGCTGAACTGGGTAACTGGCTTCTATATCAGACAGATGGCCCAGTTACCATGAATCAGCTGAAGAGCATGATAATCTTACGGCGTATCATCTCTCCACACTCATGATGTCTCTTTAGCGCACACGTTCAGGCTTTGCACTTACTTTTCTGAGACAGCCTGCAGGATAGGGTACGTTATCGTGTGATCTCCACCTGCACCACAAGAGGGAAACAGAATGTGTCACGTTGTAAGAACAGGCCGGCACTGATTGAACGCATTTTAAAATGATAGCGACTGATGTTTACATGATGCCTTGTCTATGGGTATTGCACCACATGACGGAGAGAGGGATTGCTAGCGGGAAGTCACTGCATCAGTTTGTTCTGTCCTTGTACAGTGCTGAGCACAAACCAGATCTCAGTCTGAGACTACAGCTCCAAAGAGCTCTGCTAATACACGTAATAATATTATTCCATCTGATTAAGTTCCCTGAAGCTTTAAGTGGGTGACAGATTCTGGTAAAACACTCCTAAATCCAGACAGCTGTATCCATCTGGCTTCAGCTGCTACTGAAGGGCAGCTTCCATGTGCCCTTGTAGTGCGCAGAGCTGAACTTTCAGCAATTACTATTACTAAGTGCAGCCACCCACTGTTATTCATTCCTCATCTGTACTTACTGCAGCATTGCTGTATATTAACTACCCCCAGAGATCCTCTTGCTGTTGTAATAGGGATGGAATAAGATCTGGAAGAGATCAGATTTCACCTGCCAGAGGACTGGCGCCACAGCAGTGCAAAGGGAGGGATCCTTGCTAGAAGTTATAAATAGAGGCATAACATGTCTAAATATGGATCCGGGCTATTTGAGGAGGCTGCAACTTAAATTTTCGGTTTGCCTTCCACATTGCCATCACTTTATATAATCACAACAGCTAACGCTGTTACTGTTTGCAAAGTCGTGGGTGCTTGAGTTAAACAGCAGACAGACACACACAGAGACACAATCTGATTCACTGCCTGCCCCAAAGATAATGCACCGCACAAGGTTCAATTCCATTTAAAATCCTAAGCATTTTCCTTTGGGGGCATCAACTACTTTTATTTCTGATCCTGCTAAGCAGGCTGACAAAATACCTTGAAAATCAAATGCAGATACAGGCATACCTCGGAGATATTGCGGGTTCGGTTCCAGACCCCCGCAATAAAGTGAACACCGCAATAAAGCGAGTCACACGAATTTTTTGGTTTCCCAGTGCATATAAAAGTTATGTTTACACTATACTGTAGTCTATTAAGTGTGCAATAGCATTATGTCTAAAAAAACAATGTACATACCTTAATTAAAAAATACTTTATTGCTAAAAAATGCTAACCATCATCTGAGCCTTCAGCGAGTCGTAATCTTTTTGCTGGTGGAGGGTCTTGCCTCAATTTGTAAAAAACACAATATCTGCGAAGCGCAGTAAAGCAAAGCACAATAAAACGAGGTATGCCTGTATTTAGCTTTAGTCTGTGTTCAACCTGTAAAACAGGTTTCTCTCTAACCCTGGCTATTCAGTTTTAACACATTATTAAAAGGCATCATTTATCCTAGGAACCTCAGATGCTAACAAATAATAAATCACATTCCCTAACTCAGCACTGGGCTTTGTGCAGATTTCAGGTTTATCACACACTTTTTACTGTGCTTGGTTATTTCTGATAGATTTTTCCTAGCAGATGAGGACACACTGCAGGAGAGAACTGCAAATATTTTGCCTTCATTAAAAGAACATTGTTGACTGGTAGATAAATGATACCTGGCTCTTTGAAGCAAGTTACAGCTAGAACAAGCCAGCTGGAAGAATCCAGCTCTCATCGGGAATTTATTTTTAAAACATGTAAGACAAGTGAATTAAGAAAAATATATATCATCTACAGGCACCCAGAGCAGGAGCTGGACTTTTCTGGTCTCATACTTTTGGAAGAATAACTTTATATCATATGGGGGATATACACACACACCCACCCACCCCATATATATATTGCCATATGTATCTAAATAGCAGAAACATCCAATGACTTGTCTACTGGAATTTCATCAGTCGTACTGGGCTAATTAAACTGCTTTGGCGACTAGTCTCTGTGTGGACACTGCTTCAGAATCAGAGCAGCTTTTTTTTTTTCAGTTCAGCTTAAATCTCTTCCAAAGTGACATCAGTTCAATCACAAGGAGCTTTAGAATAAGAGCATCTACATGGAGGATTAGACCAGTATAACTTTATTGGTTTAAATTCATACCGTAGCTTCTCCCACTATCGCTGTCCCAGATCAAGAAACTTTGAATTAGGATTCTCCCTTACCTCCAATAGTGCGACAGAATACAGGTCTGCAAGCTATAGATTTGGACCTGAAATCAGATAACTATATACACACAGATATATACACCAGCCAGCCAATACAATGAAAGCAATATAGTGCCAACATGCTGTTTGGAGAACCTTGCCCATTCATTACAAATGAATACTGGGAGGTTGCTGAACCCCTGGCTGTCTGGTGAGCAATGAAGTCCCAGTACCAGGCAACATCAGCTACTGCCGTTGAGAGTATATGCTGACAAGGAACTGGACTAAGCAGCGGATATTTTTGTTCAAAAGTACTTTGGGGTCATGTTTTCTCATCCATATGCAAAATGCCAAGTGACTAAGGAAAAAACAACCAGGAGGAAATGCTGGAAGCAGCGAAAAGCTGATGGAGAACGAGTTCTCTCCATAGGGAAGCGATCGGTTCTACCTTGCTCTCAACGCCCTGTAGTCAGTGAAGGTTGTAGGGAAGGAAGGCGATGGCCTCAATGCCCCAGGGATAAATAACCCATGTTTCAACACATGAAGACGGCCCTTCCCCTGGGTCCTTACCCAGCACAAGGGGAATGCAGCCCGTGGCCACAATCTTCCGAAAGGCCTCTCGGATTTGCCGGCAGCTGTCCTGCAAGTTGTAGAGGTTCACGTTCACATCGCCAAGGTCAGCGACCATGAGGGAGTGGAAGGGCGCTGCCCGGGTGCTAGGGTTGTACCTCCTCACCATCACCGACTCGGCTCGGATGTGGCGCGGGCCAAACCTGGAAGAGAAAGAACACCATGCTCTATGATCTAGTAAGGAAAGTTGCGCGGGATCAGAGGACACTGTGGCCAAGGGATGCAAACTCCTCCTAGATACGTGGGCGGTGAAGGGTAGGATACATCTCGTTGGAACGACCATTGGCCCAAGAGGTTCACGTGTGGCTATTGCATTGTGGTTGCGATTTTCTGTCAGGGGCATAAATGCTTCTAGGTCTAGCCAGAGACCTAAGTGTGAATCTAGAGTGACTGGCAAAGATTTGGAAGAAAGACTCTCAACTCCTAGTGAGCTGCCTGAAAAAGACCTAATTTTTTTTAGAAAAAGTTGAGCATTCACTTTATTATATTCAACTCTCTTAAAAACAAATCTCAGTTGCGTCTAGATCTGCGACAGCCGCACAGTCCATCTGTTGAAGTGTTCAGGCCTTGCTCATCACGGCAGTGCATGGTGCAGTCTATCACAACTATCGCACAACAGCTTCCACCTCCTCCTGCTTCCCCTGGGGCAGTGGGAATTATCTGGAGTAGCTCTTTCCCCTTTTGCCTCCTTGGTTGTTGTCGTGGGCAAGCTGCGAGCATTTACTGGAAGCGAGTGTCTTAGGTTTGGGTTACCTTACAGAGAAGGCTTTATTTCCTCTGATCACAACCATCACCCTGCAGGCTGGCAGGCCCTGAGGATCACAGCTTAAGAGTGTGTGTGGGGGGTGGAGGTTTACACCATGTTAGTCCAGGAGGCAGCGAAGCTTAGGGCTGTGCGAAATGGTACCATTTTTTTTCGATTCGAAACTGCTGTTCTGTTTTGTTTTGTCGAAAGTTTTGCTGTTTTAATGTTTTGCCCACAGGCGATAACGGGGAAGCTCGAAACAGCCTATAACTATGTCATTTTTGGCCTGATTTGGATGAAGCTTGCAGGAACAATAGCCCCTTCTGAAGGCATGAAGCCTGCCAAGTTTCAAGGAGATCGGTGCAGGGGTTTGAGGGAAACTGCCCCTCAAGCTGCAGATAAGCAAAACTTGTGCCATGGGTGACCCTGCGCATGTTAAGGTGCAGCGGGGTGACAGCTACAGGGATGGTGGCCCCTGCTGTGACCACAATGCCTGCCAGCTGGGGAGGGGATCAGTGCAGGGGGTTCTGGGGCCTGCACCCCTAGCGGCTGATGGACATAACTCGTGACATGGGCGGGTGACACTGTGTGTGTGTTAAGGTGCGCCCGCACATCACTGACACCGAGGCAGAAAGCAGGGCAGTTTGAACAATCCTGCCTTTGATGCAGCTTTTCCATCCCTCCCCGAGCACTGGGATTGGAAGAGACCTCAGGGAAGGATTTCAGCCACTGGCCAATTGCACAGTCAAAAATGAGAGCAGCCCTTCCCCCTCCCTCTCCTTACTTTTGTTTCTGTTTCCCTGCAGGAAAGCCCAGCTCGAGCTTCAAAACTTGAAACGTTCTGAAAATTTCAAAACGTTTTGACTCACCTCGTTTCGTTTTGAGGCTGCTTTGAAGCTCTCCGTTTCGTTTCCATTTCACGGTTTTGAGCTCAAAACGAGTCGAAACAGTGTTGAAACGAAACTGCCGGCGAAATTTTGCACAGCCCTAGTGAAGAGGTCACCCTTGCCATCATGGTAGCAGTGTAGCCACGCAGGGTGACCTGGCGCCTTCACTAGTAAGATATAAGGTGGATGAGCAAAGCATCGTCCTTCCCCATGACAAAACCACCATCAGCAGTCTAGCCCCTCTCAGCTCCAGACATCTGTCTCCTCAATTTAAATACATGCCCTTTGCCTAATGATTCCTGAAACAAGGGGATAGGAAGAAAAGAGTCCGATACGGTGGTACTGGAGACTATGAGAGAGAGAGAGAGAGAGAGAGAGAGAGAGAGAGAGGCACTGCCGGACTCACGGATTCAGGTTCAACGCAGACGGGAGCAAATGTATTTGTGACTATCCAATCTGACCGTTTGTGCAAACAAAGCAAGCTGTCACTTCTGTTCCTCCAGGAAAGGCAACAAACTCGCACTCACACCAGGCACCTTTGGATGGCACTAAACAGGAGCTACGCTTTGCCTGGTCCCTGCAGCTCGGGGCTGAGACCGTGGTCCAGCCGCACAGGGAAACCTGCCTGCGCCATCCCTGTTCCCTGCATAAACAGAGATTCACTCCCCAGGCTTGTGCATCCTGCATCGATGATCCTTGGATGTTTCCGAGCCTCAGGTGGAAATGGGCGGTTTCTGTGGGCAGTGGCACTTGACCAGCAGCCTGCAGGAAATAGGTGGTACCTGCCCCCTTGGCGTAATCGCTGCCACTTACCTCGCACCAGGACGGTTGGAAGTTCCCGTGTCAAGAGGGACCCCAACGAAAGCTGCGTCCAGCCCCTCCGCAGACACCTGCACAGGCAGCTTCAGCATGGAGCAGACCCCCACAGGCCTGGCCACCGACTCTGCGCTGGGAGGGATGTTGAACCTGGAGTCGGAGAGCAAGCGGCGAGGCACAGAGCGCCCCAGCAGCAGAGGAAAGACCCCCCAGGGGAAGCCGGGCTTGGAGCCAGGAGCTGCCAGGTGGGTCCTGACCCCCGCGCAGGGGCGAGCTGCACTGCTGGCGAGCGCAGGCGGCTGGGGCTTGGCCAGACAAGTGCCCGTGAAGGTCCGGGTGCCGAGCCCCTCTTTGCAAAGCACCCTGGGGAGCAGCTTGCTGCGACTCAGGGAGAAGAGGTGCTCCATGCTGCACTCCTCGCTCCCAGGCAGAGCAGAGACAGAGACAGAGACAGAGACAGAGACACGGCCACAGCTGCCCTCTCTCAGCGTGGGAGGCAGATTCCTGGCCGGGGCAGTAGGCACAGCCCTGTCATTTCATCCCCCTCCCTCCCCCTCGCAGGTTCAAAGTGCAGCCTGGACAAGTGCACTCCTCCCCGTGCCCCCAGCATGAAGGGCAGACGTAAGCAGCTCGCAGCTCAGCCACACACTTTTCTTTTAATCTCTTCCTTCCTCCCTCATTTCTCTGCTTTCCAATGCTCCCAACTCCTCTTTTTTGGTTTTTTTACTCCCCCCTGCCCTTTCCTCCAACACGCTTTGTATTCTGGGAAATGGAGTCTCTTCCTGCACTGGATTTTCTTGGGGTTTGCAGGAAAACTCCTCGGCCGAGTGCTGAGACTAGTCCAGCTAACGGCAGCTGGCTGTGCTTTTAATTCAGGTCAGAGACAGGTTGCAGCCTGAAACTCTCCAGTCTAAAGCAGGCAGCCTGTTTTCTCAGCAGGCCACTCTCCCATAGGAATAAGGGCAAACGTTGTCCCGGGTTTCCTCCCAGGCCCTGCTGGGACATGCTCAAGGATGTGGCCTGGGGGCCTCCGTTCTAGCCATCCCCGACGCGGCTGTGATGGCTTCTTGGAAGACTTACCAGCCATGTTTCTACGGAGAAAGCTAAAGAGCAGCCCCATAGCACATCTCACAGAGGAAATAAAGCTCTCTCAACGTGTGGCCTGGCTTTGGGGGTGGGAAATGGAGGGTGAGACAGAGCGTCCCTCTGACCGGCTTTTTCCTGAGAGCCTCAGTTGAGGGGACCAGTTAAGCTGCCCTAGGAAGCGGTGAGAGAGTGGTAGCTTCACCCCAAGTCTGGAAATAAGGCAGAATTTACTGCACAAAGAGCAAAAACAATGGTTTCACTATAAAGCGTTTCCCAGTGCCTGCGTGTCTCCCCCTCCCTGCCCGCACACACGTGTGTACATGCCTCTGTGTGTGTGTGTATATATACATATACACATACACACACACACATACACACACCACTGACCTCAGCAATATTATCGCAGATGAGTAAGCAGAAACAAGGAAAACCACTAAGAAAACCACACCAGCGGGAAGCCTTTAAGAGAACGCCTCTGAACGAGAGCTTTGAGCTGGATTTCAGGGCGGATAGGGAGCAAATCCTGGTAGCAGATAAGGAGACTTGAATGCCATCACAATTCGTGTAATGTATAAGCACGGTCCTTTGGGAACGGTGCAAAAAAAGTGGCAGCCGCTCACTGAGCCAGGCACCTTCTGCTCATTTTAAGGCAGGAGGTTTTCAGGCTGGTGGCTGAGAAAATGCTGATTCCCCCTCCCCTTCTTCTGAAACGTGGTTTGCATGAAAGGGACCCTGGATTCCAGCACACTGCCCCTTAACATGGGGTATCTCCCTGATGCTCAGCAATTAGAAAAGGCAGCCTCTCATCAGGGTGCTAATTCACAATCCTTTGCCCCACACTCACATCCATCTCTTTTCATGCCTGCTTAGGAGGTTTGGCTTATGCAGCTGACCGAATACAACATTTTTCATAGCGTCCAACAGCTGAAAGGATCTGCAGCCGTTCTGTGAACTTCACCAAGAGATTTCTAAGGAGCACTCGCCCACCCCTGCTATCGCCTCCCCACAGAGGACAAATGCGGCAGCTATATAAACAGTGCAAGGCAATGGGTTAGGAAAGGAGGATTTTTTTTTTCACTTCTCACGTCTGTTTGACTGAGCTTGAATCTTTGCTATTTTGTCTCCCCAAACTCAACTCTCCAACTGCCCCAGTCAGGGACCAGCTAGAATGACCCTGGCAAAGTCCCCAAGAATATGCAAAGGAGGCTGCAATCTGAGCTAGTAGGGCTTAAACCTTGCTTGAACCCGGGTAATCTGTACCAACGCAGATCACCGCTTTCCTTTCCTGCAGGAGAGATTTGCATTGGGGGCAGCTATGCTGGCAGATGGCCACCAGTGACTTACCCTGAATCCAGGCACCAAGGTAGCCAAGACCTTAGTCAGCAAAAAAGGCTTCAGATGGGAAGCAGACACAAGTCTAGAGTTTATCGCATTTTCAGTCTATGCCATAGTGATCCAAGCATTCAAAGCAGGAACCATCATGCAGAAAACCAGTCGTGGCCAGAAGCTGTCAGTGGAGCCTTGAATGGAGGGCAAAATATGTTGCTACGACGGTCCTACAACGGTACTTTCATTCATAACTTTCTTTCATAACTCCCACTCCTCTTGTTTTCAAGAGCAGGAACTTATAGTCATTTTATATTTAAAACTACCTTGGCCAGAGCAGGCAGGAATGTTCTTGAAGCCCAGATGTTCTGTGGAGGTGCATCGGCTCTGTTGGTTTTTGTTGGGTCTCCATTTCCGAGACATGTACACGTGACAACCTAGCAGTGTGGGTGCTGCCCTGAGATATGGGAACTAGGGTCAAGTGCCTGATTCTGCCAGAGTAATCAGGGGCTTAAAACCCCCTGCTGTGAGATGGAGCAAGGATTTGACCCAATCTCCCACATCCATTGCCTCTTTCCCAATTGAAAACGCTCAGTTTCCAGGTGCAAATAAAGGCCGTTTTGACACTATTCCATTTCCACGAGACCCTTTGGAAGTTCTTTTCCACCATGATGCAGAACAAGAAAAACTCACAACCCCAAAGTTACAACACAGTAGACGTGTCCTCTAGCCAGTTCTAATCTTACCAGCTGGGCTGAACAAGGTCAAACCAGATTGGATACACCAGGCTCAGAGAGGTTTTAGATGCCCAACAGGCTTAACTCGGACTATGAGAGAAGGCTGTTGGGTACGCTGGTCCAGAGAAGGTGAGTGGAAGTAGGGGAAGTATTAAGAGTGTCGGAATAGACAGATTTATTAGACAAGCACTGCTTCTGTAAAACAAGCCATTCCATCAGGATGTGGCCATGCACTAGTTACTGGGAACGTGCCTTTCTAGTCCAGTCCAGCATCACGCAACCTTCCCCTTCCCCTCCACCAAAACCAAGCGGTTGGACATGTAGTTGGAAGAATGTCTATTTAATCCCTCTGTGAACTCTGCTTTGCAAATGGGACTTTTGTCGTCTACATCATGACTTTCCTTGTAAGGAGTCCCAGCCCCAAACCACCATCTAGTGTAGGTAGCAAGGACTATACAACAAATGCATCTTTTAAACCTCCTACTTAAGGATGCCAGCAGACTGCCTGCAGGGGTCAAGAGAGCTCCCAGCACATTAAACTTCAGACCCCACAGATTGCTCTTCACCTTATACTCCAGAGGATGATTCTAGTCCCTGGGAAAGGCAGGATACTGGACTGGTTGGAGTCCATCTACAGTCTGAGCGGTGGTCTTTCCAAAAGCTCTGTTCATATTTCTGCTCCCTACTGCACTGCTGACTGGGAAGAGGGGCAGGGAAAACAGGACTACATACACATGTGTAAAAACAGATTAGCTCCACGGTGGGTCATCACATCGTGCTTCTTCACAAGGAATAAATCTAGACGGAAGCTTCAGTCCTGCAGGTAAGAGTGAAAAATGAAGGTGGACATAAAGGGGAGCTCTATCACTTGTCCCTATTAATCCCTCATTCAACTGGAGACACCAAGAATTAACAACTGACAGGAAACCTGGCCAGGATGAAAGCAAAGAGAAAAATGACTCTGGTGGTGCCCAGCGCTCAGCAAAAAACTCAGTGACTTCAACTAGGCAGCCTAACCATGGTCAGCAGATCCTCACGTGAGAAGCATCAGCCCTCAGATCTATGCTGTGTTATGAAACACAGAGCACGTGTCTGTTTGAGGGAGGGACCCCAATGGGCTTACAGTCAGGAAAAGGAGTTGCTGTTTCACCTTTATCTCAGGGACATCAATGCTGTTTCCCAGTTCCTTGCTGTCAGCCTACAGATCTTCAGTGCTGCTGGGAGATGCTGGCACCATGCAGGAGAGCAGATTCGGGTGTTTTGGGATAGCACCTTCTGCATCACTGCAGGGAGCTGGACTAGATGATCCTCCAGGTCCCTGCCAACTTTGAATTTAGATAAATTTGAGGCAAAAAATGCCTGAAGGGCAAAAGCCTCACAAGCTGAACTGCCTAAAAAAAAGATCCGTGTCACACAGTCACCAGCAAGAGACGGGCCTTGAGATACCCAACAGAAAGAAGTATTGGAAGGAGCAGAGTCCTGTTTTGCTACCAACAGTGCAGAATTGGTGGCAGGCAGCCCTGGTCTATGGAAGTGCCCACTGAATTTTCCCGTCCCTTTCCATCTGGAATAAAGCCCACGTGCACCCCACATTTGCTGCTATAAACATCACCTTCCACAATTAGACTGGACTGCACCAAACTGGGATATTTGCAAGTGGTGAGTTACGATTGAAACCAGCATTTCCACACCAGTTCTACACCACAGAAAGCATTTACTATGACCTTCCCAGGTATTCCCAGATTTTGGTTTTGTTTTGTCGATCCTTTCATAGGCTAAGAGCTATCTGGGGTTTGCCACACAGTTCCAACCATCTCCACAAAATAAGAGGAGCAATAATGTATTCAAAACATTTCAACTTTGGTTGAGCCCTCTAAGAAGAGCTGGGGAATGCCCACAGTGCTCCTTTTAAAGGGTGCCAAGCTGGTTTTTGAAGAGCCTGGATTTAACTGCCATCCTCCTGGGTGGAGTAAAGGAATAAGCCAAGTCCTCCTGGTGGCTCGATCTGAAGGGAGCAAATGGCCTTTTAGGATCTCAGGCCAGTAATATTTGCTATGCTGCAGAACAGTGAATTTGTAAGGCCAAGTGCCAGGCAGATTCAACCCCCAGGTCACTGGGCCCCTGGTACAAAGAACAGAGACAAAATTAGCTAAAGCATGTTCTTTCACTGCCAGAGCCAATGTGTTAATTTATTGTGCAAAGAAGCAAAAACAACTCTCTTCAACTTCTGAACACCCACAGCTCACAGCTAGGAGGTCTAACAGTGCTTTCATTCAAACAACTGTTGCTAGTTAAAAACAAGCGTTTTACCCCACAACCACAGGCTACCACTAATTATTAAACAGAAAACCAGCTATAGAATAAAGAATGTAGTAGCC